TCATCATTATCATTATTATTACATATCATTACTATAATTCTAATACTATACATAAATAATATATTTAATATATAATATAAAATATAAAATATATAAAATATAAAACACATATATAAACATAAAACATATAGAGGTACAGCTAATTGTCCATTATATGATGGTAGATATTTTGTATCTAAAGGAGATGTAATATTAGTAACAGTTAATTATAGATTAGGTGCATTAGGATATTTAGTATCTATTGAAAATAATATATTAGGTAATTTTGCATTAAAAGATCAAAGATTAGCATTAGAATTTATACAAAAATATATAATTAATTTTGGAGGAGATCCTAAAAGAGTGACTATATTTGGAGAATCAGCAGGAGCAGGATCAGTAACATCATTAATAATGAATAAGAAAAGTGAAGGATTATTTAATCAAGCAATATTTCAATCAAATCCATTATCATTACCATTTAGAGATTTAAAATCATTAAATAATTTAGGTGAAAGATTTATTCAAGATTCTAAATGTAAAACATTATCATGTTTAAAACAATTAAATTTTAATTTAATTGTAAAATATTCAGATGAATCATCAAATCATTTAAATATATTACATCCAATTATATCATTCATGCCATGGACACCTGTTATAGATCATATTGAATTATTTGAACAACCATTAGATGCTTTTAAAAATGGTAATTATTTTAAAATACCAATCATGATGGGTACTTGTTCTGAAGAGGCAATTATGTTTATCTATTTGGCTCTATCTTCTCCTTTAAATTCTATTGAATATGATGGTGCATTATTGGGTTTATTTGGTCCAATGTCATATTTTAGTGTTCATTCATTATATCCACCTTATGGTTCAGATCAGAGAATTCAATTTTCCATATTAGGTACTGATTATATTTTCACTGCTCCAACTAGAAATGCACTCGAAAATATTTATCAACACCAATCAAATATTCCTATATTCTTTTATGAATTTAATCATACTTTATCTTTTAGTGAACAGGTTTTTAAAGAGAGATATCCATTTTGTATTGGACATGTTTGTCATGGAAGTGAATTACCAATTCTATTTCATTCATCTCAATATGTTAATTTATATTTAAATGAACAGGAGGAATTATTATCACATCAAATGATTCAATATTGGACTAATTTTGCTTATAGTGGTAATCCAAATTATAAATCAAAGGATAATTCTAAATCAAATGATAGTACAAGAAATGATAGTATTGACTTACCATATTGGTCTGCATTTACAACATCAAATGTATTAAATATGGAATTCCAAACACCAAAAACTTCAATGGTACAAGGTTTAAGAAAACAAAAATTAGACATGTTTGATAAAATGTGGTTATCATCATGGTTATTAATAAATTATTATGATTAAATACAGCACGT